ATACCTTTTAGTTCTTCAGAAGAAGTCGTTTGAAGTTTTTGACATATTTGACCCCTGTGACCTTGAAAGTAGGTCAAACTAATTTTCATTCGCAAACTTTGTTGGGCTCTATCCCAGGAAGCCACCAGCCAAATATAAATATTCTATACCTTTCAGTTCTTCAGAAGAAGTTGTTTGAAGTGTTTGACACATTTGACCCCTGTGACCTTAAAAGTAGGTCAAAGTCATTTTTTTGACATATTTGACCCCTGTTACCTTTAAAGTAGGTCAAGGTCATTTTCGTTCTCAAACTTTGTAGGGCTCCTACCAACAAAGCTTTCAGCCAAATATCATGACTCTAGGCCTGTCCGTTCTTCAGAAGAAGTTGTTTAAAGGAAAAGTTGACGGACGGACGACGGACGCAGCACCACGACATAAGCTCACTTGCCCTTCGGGCAGGTGAGCTAAAAATATTCTTTCATGCTTAAGGGTGAAGGAAAGGGAAATTCCACCCTCTAGATTTTCAACTTTGGCAAAACCCTTGGCAATGCATAGGGTTATACCAAATTTGAAAAACCCTCAGGTGGAATTTCCCTATCCTACACCCCTAGACATGAAAGAGTCTTATAATGTCCGGTCTGTAAAAATGTTGCTGTAAAAGTAAATTTTGCATATAATGATTGTAAGGATGAACCACTTGTTAACACATTAACACCTGAAGACACATTTGAACTCTTCCAATTCAAAGGACGGAATAGTTCATTATAAAATTACAGGGGTGAATGAGTTAAAGTGATGGACAAACACCTTTTTATAAACATCTGTATAAAACACAAAACATTTAATTTGAAGAATTTGATTTATTTTTCAAACATCACAAAATTGAATTGTTTCATACTGCCAGCAGTACGAACGAAAAACAAAATTAATGTAACTTGTACTTTTTTATTCCGTCTTATCGTATTGCAGAGTTATCTGCTCTTGTGAGCAGGTATTGTTTGTTACGTCATTTGTTTGTGAGAGTAACGTCATCAATTTTTGAGAAAACGTAATTTTCGCACACAAACCAATGACGTAACAATCAATACCTGCTCACAAGAGAAGATAACTCTGCAATACGCAAAGACGGAATAGGTATCTAGTTTTGGCTGTTATATTTGAGTAATTTTTTAATACCAAAACCACATAGATAAAGTGAAACAAATTGTAACGTATGCATCCAACATGTCTTTTCAAGAGAAAAATTTCAGAAAAAAACGCAAGAAAATCTGACGAAAATTGTTAATCAGTTTACGTGACTGTATCTACACCAATTCCCTCTGTGTCACTAGATTTAGTTCAAACATTGTAGATTCCTGATAACGTGAGGATATGTTTTCCATTGTAGGCAAAGTATTCCAAAAATCTCGCTGCAGCTTTAAGTAAATACAGTACCCTCCATTCAAATCTGTTTTGTCTACTGTACAGCAGGATATATTTCTGCGGATATGATATTTTCGCAATTTTGCAGGTCAATAATGAGAGCGCGAAAATACCGTCCGTAGATTAATATGACAAGCGTGAAAAAAGTGCCACAATAAACATAATAACCTAAATATTGTCAGAAAACAGCGAGTATCCATGGAGTTGTAATAATTTATATACATGAAGAATATTACAAAAATGTTTGAAAATAGATTCTATCACACATCTTAAGGTTTTCTTGAAGATTTGTATAACAAAATACACTTACTTGTTGTAATTATGATCCGTGTAAATTAAATTTTCTAATTTTGGATCAAAATCAAGAAAATTTCAGCCTGCGTAGACTCGGCCAGGGTACTACGGTCGACAAGTTAGCTCAGCTGATTAGAGCGATAGTATAATGATTGGAGGTCCAGGGTTCAAATCCGGGTCTGGACCTTTGCAATTTTATTTGGTACACTGTCGTTGATTTATTTATTTTTAATTACTTTTTCGGTATTATTTTGTCATAAAGGTTCTACATGATTTTTCTCAGAAAAAATTTTGTCAAATGCATGGTTACAGTTTTTGGCATCCTTACAAAATACATTCAAGAAAAGGTCGGAAGTAAAAGTTTTTACAAAACGATCCATGGTTTGTACATGTAGACATATTCAATAATATTTTTGAAGCACTAACTGTTGCCATCTGGCTACAGATTTGTCAATGAAAACCATTATTTCAAAACAGCAATACAATAAACATCCTCAATACTCTAGAAGTTATATTGATTCTAGATCCTAGGTTTTTAGTCAAGATTCCATGACACTGAAGGGTGACAGCACAGCCTTTTTGATGTATTCAGTCAATCTGTGTTTGTCAGCAAAAAAATAGAAGACAATTATTGTTCCGATATTTCTCCACGTTGTAAATCCTTCATTTGTCATCAACAACCTCCCCATGTAAGTCTGGCTACGTGGTCAGTCTTCCGCTTGGTGGGTTTGACAAAGCCAAGGAATTGGAGCTCCGACACAGCCCTGATGAATCGAGCTCTGGACACAGTTAAGGTAAACATTGTCATCTGTATTATGATACTGCATTCTACCACCAATAATATACACACGCACGCACACACACCTTCCCCAGTATGAGCCACAGAAAATAGCTCTGGACAATGTAAAGATTCACATGTCGTCTGCATCATGATACTGCATTCTAACAGTAATATACACACACACACACCCTCCCCTTCCCCTCTCTCCGGCATGAGCCACAGAATATAGCTCTGGACAACGACCTGCAATGTTTATTCATGTCTTGCAAGGCTTTTTCAAGGCTCGTCTGAAAGCAGCATCAGATTACTAGGTTTGACGGGCCGACCTCATTTCATAAACGAACAAATCTGGTACAACCGGTTCAACCATTTGGACCGCGATAAACGAATGCTGCCTATATGTGGAGGGGGCATTCAAATCAATATGTAAAAAAAAAAAAAAAAGATTGATACATTACTTAAGTAAACAATACTATTCCTAAGCAGTGTTAGTTTCGACTTAAATTTTGAGTATTTGACGTCTATCTACATGGTAGCCTCAAAGAACTAACCATCACCCAGCAATGACCGGTGATCAAGGAACCAGAGGCCTGTTCGTTTATGCGGAACAACCGGGTCGACTGTCTTTAAATGTAACATTTCCGGGTTTAAATCCCTGTGGACCTGCAAATGTTTATACAGGCCTTGCAAGGCTTTCTCAAGGCTCGCCTGAAAGCAGCATCAGATAACTAGGTCCGACTTAATTTAATAAACGAACAACTGTGGTCCAACCGGTTCAACCGTTTAAACGAAAACGGCCTAGCTCAACATTCCGGGTAGTGGCTGGGTGGTTCAATGGATAGCGCACTTGCCATCCACCATGGTAGCCGGGGTTTGATTCCCCGATCGGACATGAAAAGGTATGGCCACATGGGTTTTCTTGGGGTACTCCGGTTTCCTCCCACATTAAGACCAACTGCGCGCCAACATCCAGGCCAACAAGAGTGATTAATATAAGTTGTAAAATCTTGTTTCATAATTATTGTAAATTAAATAAAGTTTATTATATAGCTTTCAACCTTCCATGGTGTATGAATCATAGCACAAGACCGATATCAGATCAGGGCCAAGGCTGCGAGGATTTTTTGTAGGTTTTACATAACCTGGATGATTCTATCATTGTTTTGCCTTAGCTAAAAGTCCCCAATTTAAATCTAGACGACTCCATATGAACCATCGGAATACTTTCAGTGCCAATTTTCGTATTGTTCTGTATGTTTTCATGTACATGTATCATTCCCCTCAACTAATGCAATATTAAAGCATGTTACCCTTTTAAACGGTAGTCACGGCGGCAAGACTCTTCTAAACTTAACTCAACAAACTTTCTTTAAAGTCAATATATTTGTAAATTTCACATTTCCTCTAAAACATTCTAAAGCGAGAATTTCTACCATTCAGCCACTGTCAATATGTGGCACGGTAGTCTAGTGGTAGGACGCCAGGCTCATGACCAAAGGGTCATGGGTTCGAATCCTTTCAAGGCACTGTGTTGTATCCTTAAACAAGATACTTTATTCTGCTTGTTCCAGTCTACTCAGCTGTAAATGAGTACGTGGTTGGGCAGTGCATGCTAGAATTGTTGAATGCTAGCTGTGAGCGCCGAAATGCATGCTTCCCAGGGAGTTGAGAAAGATATTGGCTGGTTGTAAAGGCCCAATAACCTCAGATACTAATTTCTGAACCGCTTTGAAAAGACCTAGCTTAGGTTGAGATTAATTGGTATATAAAAACCTCAAATCATTATTACTATTATTATAATATATGATTTCTTAACATAAGCTAATAAATATTTCTTTTAGTTTCATTATCATTTGAGGAAATATATCTGATTTCGAGGAGAGAACATTCTTAAAGGTAATAAAAGATTCTGTAGCAAAGTGTATATTTATGAAAATCCCCAAATGCCTTGCCAAATGCAAGGGCGTCACTTTAAATCACAGCAATAAGACAAAAAGGATACTGTAAAACCTGATCTGGATTCTTGACTTGATCGTCGTTTTCTTCATCATTTGAAGTCTTCACTGTGATAAATGCCTGTCCAGAAAATACAAAAAAAATAGAAACATTTATTGCAAATAGAAAATATTAGGGCTTGAATGGGTTGCGGTTCAGTTACGAGTAATATCTGGTTAGCAAATCTGCGTACCCAAAAACTGTCCCAAAATGAAAGTCAATATTTATTGATTCTCCCGGTCAGAAATGTTACTCCCGACTGCTGTTTGACAGACTTAAAAAACACTTGTGATCAGTTTTGTACTTGTTATACCATTGAATGTAAGGATGCAATAAACTTTGAATGTAAACATAACATCTACTGACATTCTGTTGGACAATGTAACTCATCATTCACCGGCAGAAATACGTGTGCATAGCATTGACAAGACATGAGTGAAAGGCAAAACTACGAACATTTCCAAATCAGGAGGCTAGCGATAAGCTGCCAATTCGTTAAAGATTTTGAGAATTTGCAACGTGTTACAACTTTATTACATGGCGTAAGTATTGAGTTATCTTTGTTTAAGCATTAAGTGAATTAAGTAATCATATTTTTATCAAAATATTTAAGGGCAATTAATTAGTGGCTATAACATGTGGCACAAAAAAGCATTTTTTTCCCAGTTTCAGTTCTAATCTGATGAGCACATACAATTACCTCAGGTTTGCCGAATTAATACTTGTTTTGAAGTTATCAAGCTGAATTTTGAGGTTTTTGACCTCTTAAAGATAAATAAAGGGGCCAATTTTTAAAAGAACCAAGATGGCCAACAATATAATTTGAAATTTCTCATCAGTATATTATGTTGAAGGTTGCCGCCATCATTAGTTAAACACCTGCATTGTAATGTGACCAGGCTACAATCCCTTCATGGAGTTCTGCGCTTGGTGCCTTCAGTATGGTATTTCAGTGAGGTAGCTAGAAGTAATTTATACCAAGACAAGGAGGCAGCGATTAAGATATGGCCAATTTCAACGATTTGTCTACGTTACCTGGAGCCAGTCGTAAAGGTTGATGAGCTGGCTACATTCCATATGTAGTTTGTACACGATGCATACGTCGGGAATGTCGGGACTGATGGTTCCGGAGTTATCACTCTCAGTCTGATGACGAAACAAAAACAGTTGTTTTACGTATACGCAATAATGGAAATTAATATTCACTGTATAATTTAATTTTATGCCAGGAATTTTTGCCACCGTTAAATTTTCTCCTTTTTCTCCTCTCCGTAATAAAAAGGAATTTATCATGACAGCTTATACTACTAAACGAAGCGTAGCTGAATCGAGTCATTTCTGTACATATAACAACTAATTGTACACGGCCGAATCGACATTGATTTGTGTGGACAACTCGTACACATTTTACACCTTTGTGTACATCCACTTCACTGGTCATTTGTCTGAAGAAGATGACAGAGTACATACCGTACTAGTCACCAAAACGTCACATATAAACACTTACTGGTTGTGCTACATTAATCTTTTCACAATCCATACTTACCAACCTGAAGAAAATGTTTAGAAGCAGCTTATAATAGTACAGTATATACAAATACAGCGAAACAAAAAATATGTATGTAGTATTTATCAACACAGGGTGAATGTAGATTTCACTGGTGAAGGGTGAATATTTGACGGGGCACAAGTACGTTTCAAGGTATATATACTCTGATCTACATAATTGCCATGTTTAAAAGATTAATATCACACTCACACTTAATTTAGAATAAAGTCTTTTAAAACTAATATCGAAAATTTTGTCCAACAACAATTCCAGACAAACTATACCATCTTGCCACACTTATAGCAACTTTTACATAGAATTTGAAATTCCCAACTGACTTGAGATTTCCCCTAATTTAAGTACGGCTAAAGGATCTATATAAATAATGTAACGAAATCCATATTTATATATTACCTGGTTGCGAAGGTAAGTATGGGAGCTTCCGAGAGCCAGCTGTACCGCGGCCCTCGGCGAGGCGGTCAGGTGACTCCTCACTGTGCTAGCAGAGTCGTAGTACAGTAGTTCGTGCAGTGGTAAAGCCTTGGGACTCACCAGATACTTTCTGAAAGAAACAACAAATACAACACAACGTTTATATACCAGGAAAAGCACTGAAGGGCTGTAAGACTCTTTCATGCCCAGGGGTGTAGGATAGGGAAATTCCACCAAACGGTTTTCAAATTGGGTAAACCTAAGAGTTTCGATCCAATTTGAAATTTCTCAGCATGCACATTCCCTATTCTACACCATGGGAAAGAAAGAGAATTTTTCTCTCTTTCCAAACACTAGAATTAGCTTACAAACTAAAGAAAGGCATCATAATGTTTACATCACAGCATCAGAATTTTCCCGATTTCATGATGTCACATCATATTGTTGTCCCATAGTAATGTCACACACGTGAAATGGGATGCAAGGCAGAAATTTATTATACCATTACCTCTTTCTTGGCCCCGACAGCTGTTCTGTCACAAATCTCTGTAGTCCTCTATTTCCCCTATGGGGCCCCACCCCTCTGCTCCCAGAGGGGCCACATCTTCCTTTTATACAACGTTGAGGCCCCTTTGTCCAAAGATGTTCTAGAACAAATTTGGTCAAAATTCTTCCATTGGTTGAAAAGAAGAAGATTTACCCATTTTCCCCCTATTTGGCCCGGCCCATCTGCCCCCAATCTTAAGGGGGCCATACACTTCATTTATACAAATAAAGAACCCTTTGGCCAAAGATGCTCTAGAACAAGTTTGGTAAAAATCCCTTTATCGGTACAAAAGGAGAAGGATCTTTAAATGTTTCCTCTATTTTCCCTATTTACGGTAGCTGTTTCAAAGGGACATTTATCAGATTATTTTCTTTTGCATGCAGATGAAGATGAAACGGTAGAATAAATCATTATTTTGGTACGTCTTGGTTAAAAACACTAACATATTTATCTAACAACACAATTATTTACATTTGTGAGCAAATCTTAACAGATAATACCAAGAAATGGTAAGATTGTATTTGGCATCCCATTCAAAATGTCATGCAGCTTTGTTGTTGAGCGTACGTGTGACGTCATTAGTATATGGCAGCAAAGATTATTGCATTACATCCCTTATTTTCTTGACGTAATAACATTTCCCTTGTTGAAGGTAGTTAAAATATGTAACAGTTAGAAAATTGACGATTTTCCCCCTTGAATACCACTATACTTCACACAAACGGCAGAATATACCGATACATCTTCACTGGTGTTGCTCGCTTGCCAAAAATATCAGTATTCTGCCATACAATGGAAATACAATAGTATTCAACAGTAAACAGCTGAATATTTATATATTGACGCATGAAAATACTTTGTATGGGCGGATTGATCGAGTGGTTTACACTCTGGCCTTCTATGCAGACGGCCTGGGTTTGATCCCTGAAGTCGTCGTATGCATTGAATATTCAGAGAAAGTGTTTTTCTCCTGCCCACACAACTCCAACAACCCAGATGGAGTATAAAATGGTTTGGAGTGGATGTTGCGGTATCTGTGCTGTAGCATTAAAGTGAGGTGGCACTATAAATGATACCGTTTAAAGCACGGTCCTCCAGCACACGCAGGCATACACACATAGGGAGATATTAGCCAGGTGGCATAGGACTAGTAGTTAGCGACTGATAAGGCAGCTCCGAATAGTTCCTCATAATTGTATTCATTAATTGTATTGATTTTATAAGTACTGTAAAGCGCTGTAGAGTGGCTAATTATTCTAGCTTGATGGGGTGCTATACAAAATGTTGCATATTGTTATCATTATTATGTGATAAAAAGTTGTTCATGTTCATTACTGTGACTTTTGTAATTAAAGTGATTATATTTACCTGAATAGAGAATCAAAATAATCCACACATTCAGTTCTTAACTTTTCGTAAGGGGATAATTTCTTTTTCTTCTTCTCCAACTCCTGTAGCCTCTGGAAATAACAAGTAAGAGGAAAAGGTAAAATGATGTAAAAATTAGAACCAAGTCATTTTTATTGGGACAAAATTTCAATATTTCTAAACATTTTCTTCAGGTTGGTAAGTATGGATTATGAGAAGTTCTTTTTACACAACCAATAACATTTTCTATGTGACGTTTCGATGACTAGTACGATATGTACACTGTCACCTTCATCAGACAAATGACCAGTGAAGCGTATGCACACAAAGGTGTAAAATGTGTAAGAGTTGTCTATAAAATCGATGTCGATTTTGGCTACGCTGGAAACGCATGTACAATAGTTGTTATATATGTACCGAAATGACAAAGCGCAGCTGAATTGAGTCATTTTAAATTTCAATTTTAAATCTTATTATGGGTTAGCTATGAAATAATTGAAACTTATACTTTTTCACATATTGACACAAACATATCATCATAGATCTGTTAATCATATTCTTTTAACTCATTCACCCCTGAAATTTTATAATGAACTATTCGAACCTTTGAATCGGAAGAGTTCAAATGTGTCTTCAAGGGAAAATGAGTTAAACAGGCAATTGGTTCCGTCCCCAGGCCAGGACATACCAAAGTCCTTAACAAGCCATTCAGATTGATATGTCTCGCCTGTGCCACGCTTCGACCATCAATGCACATGTCAAGTTTGGTTGGTCTAGCACTAATAGTTTCAGAGCAACTAAAACTAACTTCAACGCAAGAACTTAATGTTGATGGAGATGCTGACAAAGTCAATGGACCATGAAAGGTAGGCCGCTTCCAGCATTTGATGCATGGGTTGAGATGTACTACCTATAACATGCATCTATGGTCCAAGTTTGGTTGGTCTCACACTTATACTTTCAGTGAAACTAACTTAAACGCAAAAACTTAATTTTGCCGCCGCCGCAGGAAAAGTAACACCTTAGTCTTGCTTCCGCTACTTCGTGGCGGGGAGACAAAAATGGTACTTGTTATGGCCTGCTTAACGTTCAGCATTTAGGGTATTGGCAACAACAGGTTATGTTGTCAGTATAATGTGACCGGGCGGAATGCTGTGTTGGGTGCCTTTGGCATTGTATTTCAGTCAGATAGCACTATAAAGACGGCATTAGATCCGCGCTATCACATGGAGGCAAATACACCAACATACCCTGCCTCCTGTGCATGCACACACACGCAAGCAAGCATACACAACACACATGTAGGCTACTCCCATAACATGAGAGGGCGCTGGTCGGCCTTTTTCCAATCGGATATGATTTTGCCGACTGCGACCTCTCATTTCCGAAGCACTAATTCTTTGATGCAGTTTCCGCCCGAAATCCAGGCGGAACAAAATCGGCTTAAAAAACTCACTTAAGTGGTTAACAGTTCATGACAACAATGTCTTCTCACGGTTTATATAATATAGATCTCATATGTATGCCACNTAGGCATGTCCTTAAATAACGTTAGCTGTTGATAGGATCTTTTCAACAGATTTTAGCAAATATTATAAAAAATAATATTTTGGTACCTTTTTCAAACTGTGAAGATCTGTTTTCTGGATCACAGGACTGTCTGTTGTTTCCTCTTCATCTTCTTCAACTTGTTCTAGACCGAAACGAGCAGCGTTATCAACTTACTCAAGTTATGATAAAGTTAAGTAATTTTGCAGGATGCATACTTCCACATACTTTAGATACGAGGGAAACAATGAGGAATACAAATACCTCGCAAAATTATTCTTGTATACATTTTATATCAAGGGATATATATGTTTGTTTTCCTTGATTTTTTTGATTTTTTGTTTGTTTTTCAGCAAATTTCAATTATCAAGAATCTCCGGCCTGATCTCCAAACTAACTATCGTGTTTATCCGGCAATAAGCCCATACCTTGTAATCAGGGGTTGACACTAACACTAGTCCACTAGTCCTGGACTAGTAGATTTCAGCAAGGACTAGTGAATCACCTTACCTATCTGGTCCTTTGGACTTGTGAAACAAATTATTATAAAACAAGAATATTCCTTTTTAAGATTTAGAAAACTGCTAAAAATAAGATAAATTGCATGATAATTGTCAACATATTCCCAAAACTTTCACCATATTTTTGTGGCAGTTGTTATTTTAAGTCCCCTACTTTTGACGTTTCGTGCTGTAGGTCGCGATGTTTCCTTCAGGAAACCTTGGACTAGTTACATTGACGAAATCTATTCAACTAGTCCTGTGGACTACCAAGCAAAAACAGTTCAGCAGAAATACAAACAAAATCTATAACATTGTCCTGTAATAAGCCCACCCCCCTACATAAACTTTGTGTCAGAGGTCATATGTTGGGTCCCTGGGCTTATCGGACAAATACAGAATTATGAAAAAAAAATCGTATGATTTATTGATTTTAGTTGAGCCCTTGCAATTGTAAGCCCTTATATTTGTTAGGTACGTTTAAAACTTACCGTGGAGTGTGTCAAATCTGTCCAGTAGTGAGTTTATAGACACAGGGATGTCCTTGAGACTGGAGGGAAGGTCGTTACCAAGACAACTCCCACACCCTCTTAACAGACCTATCAGCTCATCTTTTGACATGAATCTGAAATTTCAATTTTTTCTCTCTTTCAAATGAAATAACTTTTAAGTTAAACCCAATTTTCTCTTATCAAAATTTTGAGAATTTACTTTTAAGTATTCACGTCATTCTTTTCATGTATATTTTTTTCATTTTTTTTTTTTTTTTTACACACAACAGTTTGTTTTTGTATGAAATAACATATAAATTACACATTTTTTTGTACCTTTTAAAGTATAAATATAAGCACTGATATAAATTATTATTACAAGGTTTTTTTTATTAATTTCATTAATTCTACTTAAGTTTTGTATGGAGTACTCACTTCAGTAAGTCTAATGAGATCTGGTAGTCCTCATTCTCCTCCATATTCCAACCCAGAACTGTAGCATACACTTCTCGAAGCTGAAAGAAAAAGTAACACTTCGTAAGTAAAAGGAACGGTTATGTAAGTCCTCCAAAAGGGGCCACCGTGATTGAGTGATTATGGTATCTGACCGTCTGGACCACTATAACCCTTGACAACTGGGTCACAGGTTTGAGGCCTACGTAGGGCAGTTGCCGGGTACTTGCAGCAGGTCAGGGGTTATTCTCCGAGAACTCAATCTTTCCTCCACCACCAAAGCCTGGCATGTCCTTAAATGACCATATTAACTGTTAACTATTTACCCCCTGACATGTCATAATGAAATATTTCAACCTTTGAATTGGAAGAGTTCAAATGTGTCTTTAGGGGTGAATGAGTTAATAGAATGTTTGGGTGGTTTTTTGTGTGTGTTTTATGCGTCCTATTAACAGCTATGGTCATTTAACTCTTTCACCCCTATGTAACTTTAGTAGACTCTACCATGCATTGATCTGGATGATTCCATTATGGTCTACAGTGGTGAAAGGGTTAAGGATGTGCCAGGTTTGAGGTTTCAGTGGTGTAAAGCNGGGGAAAATTGAGGAAAATGGTGAAAATACATGATTTTTAAAGAATATGATCAGGGTTGGGGGGGTTTCCTGAAGCCCTAAAAACCCCTCTGGATCCGCCACTGACTTGCAATTGGCCACGTGCACTAAAGTTCCCCAAAACTGCCCCCATGTCACACACCATGGATCAGAAAGAGCTTGCAATGTCATACTACACCTGCATACCAAATTTTAGCAAAAATTGCACAATATCTAAATTTTTCGACTTATTAAAATTTCTTAAAATGCACTATCTAATTTATTATATAATTATTGGACTAGCAGAATATCATCTAGGGCCAGTGGATTATTACTATTGCTAGGGCTTGACTAGTATCCAGAATTTTTGATGACATCTGATGATGGTGGACTAAAATTCAAAGTTAACTCATTCATCCCTGAAGACTCATTTGAACTCCTCCAATTCAAGGGTTGGAATAGTTCACTATGAAATTTCAGGGGTGAATGAGTTAAATACATTATTATGTGTCTGGATAATAACCTAATGAAAATTTCTACACATGCATTTAATATCAATACTCCTCTCAAGTTTCATTAGTGTCCAGCCAGTACAGAGTCATTTCAGAAGAAACTTCCAGGAAACGTTTGGCAGAAGAAAAATAATACATAGAAACATAGCTAAGATACTATAAAGTCAATTTGAGACTTTTATTTTTTTAAACATTTTATTGATTCCTGTTGCCTCCAATTCCTTTCAACTAATATTTTTCCATTCCTAATTTTCAATAATAAAGAATATATACCAGGGTTCCTCAAATGCTGCTATACACTGTATACATATATATCAGACTTTACTGCATGTACATCACACCTTAATGTTCGTACACCGAACTACCTACCTGAATACAGTACCTACCTGTAAACCAGACTTACCTGTAAACCAGATTATCTGTAAACCAGACATGCCTGCTTATAATTACAGTGCCAATACCAGACTTACCTGTTTACCTGAGATTACCTGTACACCAGACTTACCTGTTCACCTGAGATTACTTGTACACCAGACCTACCTGTTTACCTGAGATTACCTGTACACCAGACTTACCTGTTTACCAAGAGGCTGTTTAGGAAGCTTGGACACCAGAGTGTGGAGACACCTCAGTATGGGGTAGAATTCCTCGCGATAGGTGTGTATTTCTGTCACCAGCTTCAGTACCTCTATCTGTTAGGAAACAGAACACAATGAAAATCACATCAGTATTATATAAATATGTGATAAGGGATTATGTCACTGATCAGAAATCAAAAACCAAGACTGACATTACAGGTGAGATTAGCTCTTAGTCATATAAATCCACTAGCCCGACCCCTGGGGATACCAGATATTTAGTTTCAGAAGGTAAAAGTTACAGATGTACAAGCTCTGGGCTAGACATAATGTATAGCTTGAAACTTGAAAAAAAGCCTAATACCAAAGTTAGACTTTTTATGGAACAATATGTAGGTATTACCTGATTGAAGAAAGCATAGTGTAAATATTTGCGAGAGTTAATGGTCATCAAACTTGCCCGAGCCCTTAAGGCATTTAACCCTGTCACCAAGTTTGAGGAAAATCGGTTAACGTTTGTTGCAGTTATTGCAGGGAAATGTCAGATAATGATGTTTTTTCATATTCAAGGGGACATAACTTCGCCAAATAAAATCCACTGAAAGTCCATTTCTGAATATGATATACATTTATTATAGAATTATTGGGCTAGCAGAATATTATTTAGGGCCAGTGGATTATTAGTATTGCTAGGCCTAGGCTAGTATACAGAATTTTTGTTAACATCTAGATCTAATTGATGGTGGGTTAAAATTCAAAGTTAACTCATTCACCACTGAAGACACATTTGAACTCTTCAAAATCAAAGGTTGGAATAGTTCATTATGAAATTTTAGGGGTGAATGAGTTAAATACATTATGATGTGTCTGGATACCATTACATACAGTAAGATTTGTCCAAATCATTGAAACTGGCAAGTTTTTGAAAGCGCGCTACGAGAATTATTTCGGTGAAAGTTATTGCTTGAAAGAATTTTAACCTTGGTTTCTGCGTCATCCGTCAACAACTCTGCTTGTCTCTCCAGCGAACAACTCTCCACGTATCTGAAAGCATAACCAAACAAATAGTACTACATAGAGCCTTATAACACATAGAATTGTCCCTGCTTTGATGGAACTGGAGATAACGATAAAAAGTTTAACAAAAAGTAACTTAATGCAGGTGTTCCCTGAAACCCCAAAATGAGGGGTTTTACCCACAAAACAGTTGGTTGTACGTTACCCCCAGTATTCAAGAACTGCCTTATGCAACTAAATATCTGAGGGCACAGAATCTGGAAAATGTATCAAATATACCCCCCAAATCTAAAATTCTGTAGGAACACTGGATGCATCCGACATGTTGGTATGGTACACAATAGATGTGTCCTGTGGGTAGTGAGTCTGAACCCAGCCACTTTTTCAATATGCAAGTTCCCATTAACCCTTTCAACCCTAAGTAACTTTAGTAGACTCTACCAAACATTTATTTGGATGAGTCCATTATGGTCTTCAGTGGTGAAAGGGTTAACGTTACCTACCAGTAGTGATTTATCAGGGTTCCTTTTGGGTCCATTTAAAGCACCAATTCCCAACTGAAAAAGTGTTTGATTTGATCCTGATTTGCCCTCTTAAAATTCCCGAATTGGAAACAAACAAAAATAACTGCATAAATATAGACAAATTCCTCACAGTTGACCGAGTCCTGATCGCTGCCCCATCCAGATACTGATAATCTGCATACATTTAAACCAACTCATTGGACCAACATGCTGTTTTCTATTAGGACTGGACAGGGACAAAGTCACAATGCATAAGACCATGGAGGTTTATAATCATTAAGAATCATCCAGGTTTTTTCCCCCAGTACTTCGGGAAAGAGAAAACTGTGTCACAGTTAACCAAATTAATTCTTCCTAAAATTTATTATCTTTTCTACAAAGTATTGTCTAAAGGACTTAGGACTGTGACATCTTAATTTATTAAAGATGATTTCATTTTACATTTTCGTGGTTACGATTCTTTACAATTCCAAATCTCTGACTTTTTTTTTTTTATTGGGAAAATTTTAAAAGGATTTGGGGAAAACATTGCACTACCGGGTAGTTGTATTTTGAAATGGGGCCAAATTTCTGCCCCAAAATGGCCCCCATAAAATACAGGTACCATCAACACAATCGATTAATAATCATTTACTGGGGCACAAGGTAGGCAATAGGCCCAGAGAGTCTGTATCGCTCACCTGGATATTTAAGCAATAATGGGAAAATGTTCAATTGATGTAATTTTGCAAATTATTCCAAATATTGAGTCTCCTTGGCTTTGAGGTGAGCCCAAAATGAACAAATGTTATGTGTGTGCTATATATAAGCTAAGAGATACTGAAATAAATGAAAACTTGCAGAAATGAAGAGGAAAACAAAAAGACAGAGGTTCATAACGTTACAATGAGGCAGGAGATGAATTGCTGCCTTCTTATTTGTCCCCTTAGCAGGAGGGATGATCAAGCAGGGGGAATACTGCTGGAGAAAAAAAAATCCTATAACCTGCAGAGACACCCTGGTTTCAATTCCGCTTACCTCATAAAGGATGGAAGCTGACGGATGAGTTCCAGCTCATCACTGTTCATCCTCTTTGTCTGGTTGGGAAGCTCCTCCAGGGGGCAGCACAGCTGGCTCATTGGGTTTGACAGGAAGTGATCCATCATGGAGAACTATGACAGATAATTGATAAGAAACTGATAATCGTCGCAAGTCATTGATACATGTGTACGATGGACACAAATTTTGGATCAGTTAATCGTAGTGCTTGGCAAATGATTAGAATTTAAATTGATCAGTATGCCCTTTCTATTTATTGATTACAAATTTCATAAGCTATATTTGAAATTATATTTCAAACATTTAAAAGTGCCATTACAGCTAGACCATATCAAGAATGACAAGTATGTGATGCGACTGGGATGGTTCCAAAATACCCGATGGGAAATGACCTGAGATAGCAACAAGTGATGGAGGCCACTCACACACAGTGCCAGACTATTGCCCTGATAAACCAAGGCCAGGAAGCACATAAGCTTAGAGTAGGGCTGCAACGATACATTAAAATGAGGATACCATACGTATCACGATACTGTGGTCATGATACCATACGTATCACGATACTCTGGTCACAATACGATACATATCACAATACTCTGGTCAAAATACGATACATATCACTATACTGTGGTAACGATACGATACATATAACAATACTGTGGTCATGATACCATACTTATCACGATACTGTGGTCCCGATACTGTGGTCATGATACAATATTATCACGATAATGTGGTCATGATACGATACATATCACAATACTGTGGTCACAATACGATACATATCACGATACTGTGGTCACGATACGATACATATCACAATACTGTGGTCACGATACGATACGTATCACCATACTGTGGTCACGATACGATACGTATCACCATACTGTGGTTACGATACACTACGTATCACCATACATATAGTAACAGTGGAAGCAAAGAGAAAAGACATGTTGCAAACTTTTAATGGCAATATAACAACTGGAAATAGAGTTGGTCCAAAATGGGCATGATTTTAAAGTTTCACACAATTCAAGTCTTTCGATGTGCATGCTGAGCTGGAGCTGTCACTTGCCATGTTGGAACCGATATGAGTGGACTAAATTCAGAAACAAATTTCTGAAAATATCGTAGGTGTATCGTGACCTCTCAAATAATATTGTGTATCATACGTATACCATATTCAAAATAACGCAATAGATCGGTGCAGTCCTAGCTTATAGTATACATTTATTGCTCTTACTGCAGGAAAACACTATTCATAGTTTCTCTAAGGTTAATGATGGTTTATGAGGACAAAGCACTGGTAACAATGGTCTAGCATGATTTCATGACAAATGAATCTTTGAAATTTAAATGGTAAGCAGAGGTAAGCTCTCCAATTGGAAAAACTAAGACATATATTGTTTTATACTTGTCTCAAACATATAATTACCTGTAATCCTTTTATAAAATTGAGAACGGAAAAATCATGATAAAGGAATATGTCCAGCAGAAGTTTGAACACTCTGGAGCCTAGCTTGAACGGGCAGTGCTTCGTCATCAAAATCTGTAAACAAGCAAGGACAACATAAACCAAACGAAAATAAGGTATACATCATATGACAGGGCCTCCATAATACAACAAGATGGACTGAAAAATTACGTTTAAAACATTTTTTATTTTTTTTACAACAATTTTGAAACATTCTCTCTACTTTTATCCATCACTCTTGTTGGTCCGGATGGTAGTGCATTGGGGGTCTTAATGTGGGATAAAAGATTCATGAAATAGATATAATTAAAGCTTACAGCGCAAGTTAAAAAGCTTTCAATTGAGATTATAATAAAAACATTTTTTCTGGTTTTGAGATCTTCCCCATCTCTTCCGACCATCGTTTCTAAGGAAGTGCCAACATTTTAGTTTGTTTGCCCTTGCTTGGTAGCGAGTATGGGTCTCGCTGGTTGTTTCTTATAATTATGGCACATTCTCGAAAATTGTGTATCCAAAATAAAAGGTATATTACAGAAAATACTATAAATCCCATATATATCATCAGTCTTTCACGTGCATAGAACCGCTTACACACAAAGAACTCTTAGTCTTCGTCGTGTAGAGGCTTTACTAGCAAAAACATGCACTCCCAGACCTGGGTGAAGTCAGCAATGTGAAATTTGATAATTGAACCATTATCATGGAAATGATTGGAATAAGTTTTGTTTTCACACAGAAGAAAACAACTAGTTGAATATTTGAAAGGTAGGCATTAGTGTTCGTCGTATGTTTGTTTCTTTCAGGGCTGTTTTTTGGGGGGGAGGGGGGCAGGGATTGTGCATTAGATATTTTAATTGATTGTGTTTTACTACTATTTCCACTTCTTAGTTAAATGATATCTTTGATGTGTTCTATCTCAATTTTATTCCACTGATCATGATCTGATACAAAATGTCGGTAAAAGATCGTGAAAGTGTTATATATATAGTATAGTAGTGTCGTCTTGCGTACATATTGAACAAATGATAACCGGTTTGTTATCTAGGCCACGAAATTCATAAAATTCAGAAGTTTTGGTCATCTAATCAGGAAGCCCAAGAAGGCAGAAAGGCCAAGCATTCAAGTCTTGTGTACTTGTTGTTTTATTTTATATTTTCCTTCACAGGAGCTTGTTTCTTTATTGTTATTATAAATATATATATGGCCAAAAAAATAATACGTTTATTTCAGGTAACCTGCCTGAAAAAATTATGGTAGGTCGGTAGGCAAATGATTTTATTTTAATGTTCTATTTTCAAGAATCAATGTTATGTTTTATTTTCAATTTTTCAATGCTTTTCCACCCATTACAATGGCTATTAATTTGTCAAGAATAAGGTCCGACTCCCAGAACAGGTATAAAATACATTTTAATGAGTTGCTATGAGCTTTGCCTGGCTAATAAATTAATCTTAGATATAAGTAGGAGATGAAATATCCAGGGTCGGTTGGGATACCTAGCTATAGCCTGAAGCACTCATTTTGTTTTTTTCTTATCCGTATAACCAATTACAGGATACATAGAAAATATCGATGGTTTATCGGTTTTACATCATAACCAATGATCAGTTTGTATTCGGCAGTAATAAACCAATTGATGATCAATTGCATAATCGGTTTATAATTTTATAGGACTGAATATCCAAACAAAATGAGAACACTACTGTTACATCAATAGACAGAGCTGTAAACTATACATTAGGTTTCATTCTTTTCTAATGAATTGATTTCAAGCAACTTTTATGCAGTTTCATCAATCATATGGTAAAAGTCCTAAGAATAAATGACTTTCAATGCAAACTCATACATTTGACACTTCGATTTCCATCATAAACCGATTACATCAATCATGGCATTTGTAATCATAAAGGGTAAACGATTTATTTTTGATTAATAGAATACGATGTTTATATTTAATAGACGTATTAACTGAATCACCTCTGAAATTTCATAATGAACTATTCCAAACTTTGAATTTGGTTTATCTGGTTTTTTTAACATTATCGGGTATAAATCCTGGCGGACCTACAAAAGTTTATGTAGGCCTTGCAAGGCTTTATCAAGGCTCGCCTGAAAGCAGCATAAGATTACGAGGTCCGACCTTATTTCCTGAACAAACAACTCTGGTCCAACCTGTTCAACCATTTGGATCACGATTTACAAAAGCGGTCTCTGTCTACTAGACTATCAACAGGAATGTTTGATTTGTGAATCGTGTTGCGCGCCGAGAACTGGTGACTGTAGCACTAACCTGATTGATGAGCAGGGTAAGATATTCTGTCGATGGTGGAGCCTGGAACTTCTCCATGCACAGCGTGGACGACACAGCGTTTGGCAGGAGGCGATGAACTGCTGACACAGATGTGGCGATGCCGAACACGAAAACAATGGGCAGCTGGCTCAGGTAGTTACTGTAAAACATTATACATGTACAATGAGATTTATATACACATCCGAAAACAACGGGCAGCTGGCTTATATAGTATTATTTTCTATGAAATCGTGACTCTATCACTTTAAATGTTTCTTGGCTATAGAAAATTAACAAAACATAGTGTACTTGATGTGTTCGCGATGTCATGATCAACTTCAAATGAGCTTCGGTGCCATCTATAACATTATATGACGTCATATCTAATCAACGACATAGATCACATGACATCACAATTAAGACCATATTTCAATCACATATTCAAATTATTACCCTCTTGTGTAGCTCCCATTTGTTACCTATGGGAACATGATAGATTCAGGTGAAAAAAATATATGACTCCCAAAAGAAAGGGCAATGAATGTGTAATACACTTCAATGATACAACAAGTTGGTTTCTGTTTTATCTTCTTATATACAAATATCTAACAGTACTGGTACAGGTATGTCCTCTACTGTGTATTTGGTAAATGAATTCAAAGTCATAAGAAGTTATTTTAAATGTGAATCTGTGTCAACGTCTGAAACCTCCAATGAGCTCGAGGGAGATCTCCCTCATTCCACATTTCCAATGAGGGAGATCTCCCTCATTCCACATTTCCAATGAGGGAGATCTCCCTCATTCCACATTTCCAATGAGGGAGATCTCCCTCATTCCACATTTCCAATGAGGGAGATCTCCCTCATTCCACATTTCCAATGAGGGAGATCTCCCTCATTCCACATTTCCAATGAGGGAGATCTCCCTCATTCCACATTTCCAATGAGGGAGATCTCCCTCATTCCACATTTCCAATGAGGGAGATCTCCCTCATTCCACATTTCCAATGAGGGAGATCTCCCTCATTCCACATTTCCAATGAGGGAGATCTCCCTCATTCCACATTTCCAATGAGGGAGATCTCCCTCATTCCACATTTCCAATGAGGGAGATCTCCCTCATTCCACATTTCCAATGAGGGAGATAGTGTGTGAAATGCGACAGAAACTGCTTTGCTCAATTTATCTTTCCCTTTTAAGCATCAAAATAACTCCAAAAAGCATAAATTTGATTCAGACACACCTGTTATGATCATTCCACTCACCCTGCAGTAACTAGGAGATCATTTGACCACGGGATGAAGATTTTGAAATTGTATGAGTTTGGATTTGAATGAGGGAGTTTTGAGGGAGATTGGGTCAAAATGAGTGAGTCTCCCTCCTAATGACGGAGGGTTGACAGCTATGAATTCAGTAGCCATTTTTATATGAGGGAAAATGAAACGGGAACATCTCTATGGCCAGATTGTATTCTGTTACCTGCAGATGGTTATGAATTCCTGTAAGACTCTCGGCTGAAAGCTCTCAAGATCTTCAAACACCATGATGACAGGTGGGAGGATCTGAATGTCCACCAAATCACCTTCCTCGGATTTCCGTTTCTTAGGACTGGAATGGTTCAACTGTTATAACGAAATTATAATCATATTTAATGCATGAATAAAGGAACTTGTTATTAGTAACTGATTACATATCATCAATACTCTAGGGATTTTGCGCCCCTGGAATCAATCATAACAAAATTGAAGGCAAGCGGCTATCTATTTGATTGGTATCAAAAAATTGTACAATCTGCTACTGTAGCGGCGATATACAAGTAGATACTTACAGTATATTTATCATCGTACAATCTGTTACTGTAGCTGGGATGTATGAGGATATACTTACAGTATATTTATCATCGTACAATCTGCTACTGTAGTTGGGATGTACGGGGAGATAATTACAGTATATTTATCATGGTACAATCTGTTACTGTAGCGGGGATGTACGAGGAGATACTTACAGTATATTTATCATCATATAATCTGCTACTGTAGCGGGGATGTACGAGGAGATACTTACAGTATATCTATCATCGTACAATCTGCTACTGTAGCGGGGATGTACGAGGAGATACTTACAGTATATTTATCATCGTACAATCTGTTACTGTAGCGGGGATGTACGAGGAGATACTTACAGTATATTTATCATCGTACAATCTGTTACTGTAGCGGGGATGTACGAGGAGATACTTACAGTATATTTATCATCGTACAATCTGTTACTGTAGCGGGGATGTACGAGGAGATACTTACAGTATATTTATCATCGTACAATCTGTTACTGTAGCGGGGATGTACGAGGAGATACTTACAGTATATTTATCATCGTACAATCTGTTACTGTAGCGGGGATGTACGAGGAGATACTTACAGTATATTTATCATCGTACAATCTGTTACTGTAGCGGGGATGTACGAGGAGATACTTACAGTATATTTATCATCGTACAATCTGTTACTGTAGCGGGGATGTACGAGGAGATACTTACAGTATATTTATCATCGTACAATCTGTTACTGTAGCGGGGATGTACGAGGAGATACTTACAGTATATTTATCATCGTACAATCTGTTACTGTAGCGGGGATGTACGAGGAGATACTTACAGTATATTTATCATCGTACAATCTGTTACTGTAGCGGGGATGTACGAGGAGATACTTACAGTATATTTATCATCGTACAATCTGTTACTGTAGCGGGGATGTACGAGGAGATACTTACAGTATATTTATCATCGTACAATCTGTTACTGTAGCGGGGATGTACGAGGAGATACTTACAGTATATTTATCATCGTACAATCTGTTACTGTAGCGGGGATGTACGAGGAGATACTTACAGTATATTTATCATCGTACAATCTGTTACTGTAGCGGGGATGTACGAGGAGATACTTACAGTATATTTATCATCGTACAATCTGTTACTGTAGCGGGGATGTACGAGGAGATACTTACAGTATATTTATCATCGTACAATCTGTTACTGTAGCGGGGATGTACGAGGAGATACTTACAGTATATTTATCATCGTACAATCTGTTACTGTAGCGGGGATGTACGAGGAGATACTTACAGTATATTTATCATCGTACAATCTGTTACTGTAGCGGGGATGTACGAGGAGATACTTACAGTATATTTATCATCGTACAATCTGTTACTGTAGCGGGGATGTACGAGGAGATACTTACAGTATATTTATCATCGTACAATCTGTTACTGTAGCGGGGATGTACGAGGAGATACTTACAGTATATTTATCATCGTACAATCTGTTACTGTAGCGGGGATGTACGAGGAGATACTTACAGTATATTTATCATCGTACAATCTGTTACTGTAGCGGGGATGTACGAGGAGATACTTACAGTATATTTATCATCGTACAATCTGTTACTGTAGCGGGGATGTACGAGGAGATACTTACAGTATATTTATCATCGTACAATCTGTTACTGTAGCGGGGATGTACGAGGAGATACTTACAGTATATTTATCATCGTACAATCTGTTACTGTAGCGGGGATGTACGAGGAGATACTTACAGTATATTTATCATCGTACAATCTGTTACTGTAGCGGGGATGTACGAGGAGATACTTACAGTATATTTATCATCGTACAATCTGTTACTGTAGCGGGGATGTACGAGGAGATACTTACAGTATATTTATCATCGTACAATCTGTTACTGTAGCGGGGATGTACGAGGAGATACTTACAGTATATTTATCATCGTACAATCTGTTACTGTAGCGGGGATGTACGAGGAGATACTTACAGTATATTTATCATCGTACAATCTGTTACTGTAGCGGGGATGTACGAGGAGATACTTACAGTATATTTATCATCGTACAATCTGTTACTGTAGCGGGGATGTACGAGGAGATACTTACAGTATATTTATCATCGTACAATCTGTTACTGTAGCGGGGATGTACGAGGAGATACTTACAGTATATTTATCATCGTACAATCTGTTACTGTAGCGGGGATGTACGAGGAGATACTTACAGTATATTTATCATCGTACAATCTGTTACTGTAGCGGGGATGTACGAGGAGATACTTACAGTATATTTATCATCGTACAATCTGTTACTGTAGCGGGGATGTACGAGGAGATACTTACAGTATATTTATCATCGTACAATCTGTTACTGTAGCGGGGATGTACGAGGAGATACTTACAGTATATTTATCATCGTACAATCTGTTACTGTAGCGGGGATGTACGAGGAGATACTTACAGTATATTTATCATCGTACAATCTGTTACTGTAGCGGGGATGTACGAGGAGATACTTACAGTATATTTATCATCGTACAATCTGTTACTGTAGCGGGGATGTACGAGGAGATACTTACAGTATATTTATCATCGTACAATCTGTTACTGTAGCGGGGATGTACGAGGAGATACTTACAGTATATTTATCATCGTACAATCTGTTACTGTAGCGGGGATGTACGAGGAGATACTTACAGTATATTTATCATCGTACAATCTGTTACTGTAGCGGGGATGTACGAGGAGATACTTACAGTATATTTATCATCGTACAATCTGTTACTGTAGCGGGGATGTACGAGGAGATACTTACAGTATATTTATCATCGTACAATCTGTTACTGTAGCGGGGATGTACGAGGAGATACTTACAGTATATTTATCATCGTACAATCTGTTACTGTAGCGGGGATGTACGAGGAGATACTTACAGTATATTTATCATCGTACAATCTGTTACTGTAGCGGGGATGTACGAGGAGATACTTACAGTATATTTATCATCGTACAATCTGTTACTGTAGCGGGGATGTACGAGGAGATACTTACAGTATATTTATCATCGTACAATCTGTTACTGTAGCGGGGATGTACGAGGAGATACTTACAGTATATTTATCATCGTACAATCTGTTACTGTAGCGGGGATGTACGAGGAGATACTTACAGTATATTTATCATCGTACAATCTGTTACTGTAGCGGGGATGTACGAGGAGATACTTACAGTATATTTATCATCGTACAATCTGTTACTGTAGCGGGGATGTACGAGGAGATACTTACAGTATATTTATCATCGTACAATCTGTTACTGTAGCGGGGATGTACGAGGAGATACTTACAGTATATTTATCATCGTACAATCTGTTACTGTAGCGGGGATGTACGAGGAGATACTTACAGTATATTTATCATCGTACAATCTGTTACTGTAGCGGGGATGTACGAGGAGATACTTACAGTATATTTATCATCGTACAATCTGTTACTGTAGCGGGGATGTACGAGGAGATACTTACAGTATATTTATCATCGTACAATCTGTTACTGTAGCGGGGATGTACGAGGAGATACTTACAGTATATTTATCATCGTACAATCTGTTACTGTAGCGGGGATGTACGAGGAGATACTTACAGTATATTTATCATCGTACAATCTGTTACTGTAGCGGGGATGTACGAGGAGATACTTACAGTATATTTATCATCGTACAATCTGTTACTGTAGCGGGGATGTACCAGGATATACTTACAGTATATTTATCATCGTACAATCTGTTACTGTAGCGGGGATGTACGAGGAGATACTTACAGTATATTTATCATCGTACAATCTGTTACTGTAGCGGGGATGTACGAGGAGATACTTACAGTATATTTATCATCGTACAATCTGTTACTGTAGCGGGGATGTACCAGGATATACTTACAGTATATTTATCATCGTACAATCTGTTACTGTAGCGGGGATGTACCAGGATATACTTACAGTATATTTATCATCGTACAATCTGTTACTGTAGCGGGGATGTACGAGGAGATACTTACAGTATATTTATCATCATACAATCTGTTACTGTAGCGGGGATGTACCAGGATATACTTACAGTATATTTATCATCGTACAATCTGTTACTGTAGCGGGGATGTACCAGGATATACTTACAGTATATTTATCATCATATAATCTGCTACTGTAGCGGGGATGTACCAGGATATACTTACAGTATATTTATCATCGTACAACCTGCTACTGTAGCGGGGATGTATGAGGATATACTTACAGTATATCTATCATCGTACAATCTGTTACTGTAGCGGGGATGTACGAGGAGATACTTACAGTATATTTATCATCGTACCAATCCGCTAATGTGGCCAAGCTGATTGGTAGATTTTTCTGATTCACTTCTGGAGAATCCTCGTCATCTTCAAACTGGAAGAAAGTATGTCAAAGCTTGTAGGTTTCAGTACAATAAATCTTGTCATATGTTTTCCGTATTCAACGATGCTATTTCTGAGATATAAAAAATGTAGGTTATTATTAAAAAAGGTTAAGTATTGCAATGCTTACTGTACGATTGCTTTTTTACTCTTGACTTCCTGCATGAATCAGGAAAATACTGCATTATTTTTTTTTGAAATTTGGAAGAAATTTCATGGGTTTTTTTCTTCATTTTTGGGAAAATAAAGCTCTTTTAAGCCAGAGTAGGTAGTCTGTATTCGGCTGTAAAACTAGGAAAAAACAATCACTGCCCAGCCACATACCAATCTGAATTTTGAAGAAACAATTACAAAATGTATTTAATACAGGGTAAACAAATAAAGACAATTAATAAAAAATTCCCAACATCTTCATCTTTCAGGTTGTGAAAGAATTAAAACATGACATGCTTGCCAACTTTTTGAAATTTCCATGGAGGAGATTCTGCATGCTCAAAATTTAAACATAAATATTATGTGTGTATCACCCCACATAAATATTATGTGTGTATCACCCCCTAGAGACAAAATAACCCTTGAGAAAATGAGAAAATTTTGAGTTGTTATTTCAGATGAAATCAATAGATCTTAGAATATAGGAATAGTTTAGCAATTTCACTGGGTGAATATACTAAATTTAAGGGTCCAAAATCGGGAATCTCCCTCCTAAATAGGGAGAGTTGGCAAGACTATGACATGACAACCATACAACGGAAACAAAACCATACCAGCTGAGGGTTCTTCAGGATCTGTCCCAAAAGTTTGGAGAGTGTGTTTTTGACATTGTTGCAATCTTTGGATTGAAGAATGGCAACAAGGGGGGAAACTCTCTCCTGAAGCAAAGTAACAAGGGTGGCAAACATCACGCCATGGTCCGGTGTGTTTACGCCTGCAACAGAACAGTTCAACATTGTTACGCCACTTTTGCATATATATATATATCCATAAGGATCATTTTTCTGCTTTTATGATATATATAGGTCAGTGCTTTTCCAGTCCAAGTGTGTTTAATCATCTAATGCAGAATATTATTCTGCACCACCCGGACCATTTCAGCAGAGTAACATATCTGAATAGAATATGGTAGGCCGGTCAGGATTTATTTTTTATTTTATTTCATTATTTTTCTTTGAAGGAAGGGGGAGGGGTGTTAATTTAAGAAATTACTAAATAACCAAACATATTTGTAGGCCTATAAAATAATAATATGGGATTGAACTCATTCACCCCTGAAGACACATTTGAACTCTTCCAATTCAAAGGTTGGAATAGTTCATTATGAAATTTCAGGGATGAATGAGTTAAGTTTGGTTTTGATACCTGTGTAAGAGTAGATATTTACATAGTTGCCTTCTTTTTTCCTCCATCAGTTTGTTTGCACCCGGTGGAAAAGTTATCCCAACACTGGATGGAGTGCATTCAAGTGAGATAAAATTGTTGGGTCGGAGGTAAAAACCAGGGTATGTCGGGGTACCTGAAGGAGACATAATTTTCTGTTTTGGCCTTATAGCCTAAACTATGTTCAATACCTGTAACAAGAGCTGCTGTAGGGATTTCCTTGGTACGAGAGTCCCCTGTCTGACTGGATAAGGTAAATCTGGAGTGGCATGTCTTCGTGAACTTCAAAAGGTCATCAAATATCTTCGTGTTCAAATCTGACTGTAGTATCTAGAATACAATACAAAGAAAACCATGATTCTTTTGTGATCGTTTATCCTGAAATATTAAAAAAAAATAAAGTGAATCTAAATTCAATTTTAACTTTGCATACATGCCAGAATTCTTGGAGACCAATCTGTGAGATTTACAAACATTTTAAAGCACAGTGCATGTACATGCACTGTGCTTAAATTTCAGTACAATAATGATGGGAATTGGTTCTATTTTCATATTGAATATTTACTGGATGTCCATGCTTGAATTAACAGATTATCAATAAAATTTGCAATTTTTAATTGCGATTATTTGAACAATTTTTAATTGCAATTATTTGAACAATTTTTAATTGCGATCATTTGAACAATTTTTAATTGCGATTATTTGAACAATTTTCAATTGCAATTATTTGAAAAATTTGAGTATGTACTGGTATATCCTGTTTTCTTTTGATTGAATACTGAGCAGTTGTTTCATTTTCATAGCAATAAATAACAAGAGGCCCAGAGGGCCTGTATCGCTCACCTGGATACCTAAGCAATCATGGCAAACTATTCTCCAAATGAGATCAAGGGAATATGCAAGACCCCAAGGCCAGTCTGTTGTAGCATAGCTATATTAGATTTTTCATGCCCAGCAATTTTATGTATTGTTATAGGGTGGGGATCTCAACTGTTTCCAAGCTTTGACTCAGAAACTAGGTCCCTAGAGTTGTGGCCAGACCCCAGGATCGATTCTAATATCGTGACTGCATTTGTCACTTTTTGCCAAGCATTTGTGTATATAGTTTTGGGGTGGGGATCTCAACCGTTTCAAAGTTATGACTCAGGGGCCAAGTCTGCAATGGTGGGGCAGACCCTGGGATCAATTCTAATGTCATGACTGCATTCGTCTCTTTATGCCCAACAATTGTATATATAGTTTTGGGGTGGGGATATTAACCATTTCAAAGTTATGACCCAGGGGTTAAGTCTCCAAGGGTGGGGCAGTCCCCAAGGCCAACCTGGAAGCATATGTGCAATCATCTCTTTATACTCAGCA